TTAAAACCCAATGAGATAAATCTGGTGACTGCAGGTACCTGAAGTCAAATTCAGAAATATCCCACAAAACTGCATCTCAAGACTTTTACTTGTTTTTTAAAACATTTAGCTGATTCTGTAACATCTGAACAATTATTTTAATTTAAGCAAAAGACATAAGCAAGAATCAGATTCCAAAGTAAATATCTTCTAATAGAAATAAAGCTACCCAGGGGAAACAGGCATAATCACTGAGAGAAGCACAACGTAAAGAAAAGTAGCTAAAGGAAAGGAATTATGTGGAATGTGCCTCCTGCCACTTGCTGGGCTCATTCAGAATGGGTCTTTGGAAGGACTATTTGATACCATAATTAAAAATATAAAAACGTGGATTCCACAGCTATTGTTAGCAATGCTATCACACCAAGATGAGATAGAACATGTCTCCTTCCTTAGGGCATACAGACATTTATTTCCATACTGTTGGTTTTTGTTGCCTCTGTGAAGATTCCTTGCATTCAACAATGTTAAGATAAATAGAACTTCCTTCCCTTAGTGAGTAGAGTGGTATTTATCACTTTAGCAAATAGTGACACCACACTGCAAACTCCAGATTAATTACATGGTGTGAAACCAGGTTTACAGAACATTTTCCCACACAGCCCTTCAAATCTCCCAACAAGCCGTGATGTGTCATCATTACCCCTGTTTACAGGGGACAAAACTAAACTTCAGAATATCTCCATTGCCTCGAAGACTATTTTCTTTCAATTTCATTGCTTATTTCCATTCACATTCAGGGAACTTTTCCTAATATCACTGAGCTAGGACAACTAGGACTCATTGCACTGAGAACAATCGATATGGGAGCCTAAGATGGTACCTTCTCTTGCTCATTCTGTCCTGTTGTTAGAATACTTTCCTATTAGTCTGAAATTCTGTAATTTTTTTTTTCAGTTCTTAAAGCACAATTTGCCAGAAGAATATATCAGTTATATTGAATCTCCTAACCCATTCATCATGCCAAACTGCGGGAAGCTGTGGACTTTGCCATTATTACCTTTTATTATACACTAATTGCATAAAGACCCTGCCTTCTTCACTCATAAGATTGAAGCCTTTCTCAATTCACTAAATTAATATTTGACCACGTTTCCTGGCTTGCAGGATGTCCCAAAAGAAAAGAGACTTATCTCTTTTGGGTTACTACATCCCTCCATGCCAAGGTCTACATGTGGATTGAGTTACCAATGAGCTGGATTCCCATCTGGATTTGTCAGGGACATTGTAGCAGCAGAATAAATTAAAGGACCTCACGAGGTCGTTCCAGCCTCACCTCTACAATTCCATCCTGTCTGGGCTTCTCTCCTTCTTTTCTACAAGGACCAGCCTAGGAAAACAGAGCAAATCTGCACTATCCTCTGCCTCAAATTCTTAGCCTTCCCTTGAATATTTAAACTGATTTGGAGGAAAAAATCACTTAAACCGTATGGCAGACCCCTCTCTGGTAGCAGTGTCACATCCTTCAACCCACCCCTCATTTCAGCCACAGACACAGCAAATAATCACACGTGAGCTCAGGCTCACCTTGTATTCAGTTTGTCAGTTCTGGAGCATGCCACACATCCTTTTGTTTTCTGCCCAGAACTTCTCCAACACCACAGGAGAGAGACCACACGGCCTGACTCCACCAGGAGTGATAAAAGCACAGTGCAGAAGTGCCAGGGAGCTCCAGAAGTTCTCCCTCAACCTGTTAGTGACTGCCCCAGTCCCTGGTCCCTCAGAAGACAATTCTCCGTGCTACTTTTGGGGGAGTCCAGTTCCCCTGTCCACAGCAGTGACCCTCATAACTTATCTTATGCTGGTTTTCCTCTTTCCGTCTCTCCTGACCCCGGTCTTTTGCTTCCATAACCCACAACCACCTCTCACATAAACTGTGTGCATACAAGTCCTTGCATCTGGCTCTTCTCCTTCAGGGTAACCATTTCTACATGTGGAGTTGCTTCCCCTTCACCTTAAGCAAATCCTTCAGAGAGTGAGGGTCCATAACCATGTGTGGAAGATGCTGAAAGGTCATCACTGTCTCCGGTGCCCATTATTGAGTGCTCATCAGTATTTGCTGAATAATCGTCATACCACCTTCTCAATGTCCTAATGTAGGGATTTCATTATGGTCCATGCAGTTACCTGCAGGGTGGAGGACCATACCCAAGCCCACCTTGAAAGTCATACCATGTGCCAGATGAGTACCAGTGAGTCCCAGTCACCACTTTCTGGCACAACTGTAGCAATTTGTGGGCCAAATGTTAAAACTAGAGAGTGGTTCTAGAATTCTTGGTCTAATAATCTTTTACTCTTTCTGGTTAATGGGAATGCAAGGTCCAGAGCCAGTTCTCTAGACTCTTTCAACTGCCATAAATAAAAATGAAAAGGCAAGGCCCTTCTGAGTTCATTCCAGACTTTGAGCTTTTTCATTTCCTATTCCCTCCACCTAGAATGTTCTCCTTGACTTCTTGCCTTTCAGTCTCAAGCCCAGTTGTCAAATCCTCAGCGGCCCTCCCTGACACACCAGTTAGAGCAGCCCCATCTTTCCAGTTACTATAATACCCTGTCTTATTGTTTCATAGCCCCTACCTCTACCTGATGTTTTTTTGTCTATTTATTTATTTGTATTCTTGTGTGTGTGAGTCTATCCTCCACTAGGATCTTGCCTGTATTATTCTCTGCTTTATTTCAATGCCCAGTATATAGTTGGTACTCAATATTTGGGTCAAAGAAATGATTGCTATCCATAGGCTATACTGTAAACTTCACTTCCCTTTGTTGTAAGAACATGATAGCTGTTACTCATTATATGGACCATTGGAAAAGAATCCCACTCTCCAGCTAGTTGAGCCCATGGGTTAACACTTCTGAGTCTCTGGCACATCTCGAGTGGTGAGTTAGGCATTGTGAGTTACTCATCCATTGGTCATAGTGTTTTCCTTGGTGCCCTGCATCCTAAGCTCAGGGTGAGAAGCCCAAAGAATCCATCAGGGTCATCAGGACACAAATGAAGATGAGGAGGAGGAATAAGAAAATGAACATGTAAGCCTTCATCCACCCCTTTGGTGTACCTTTAGCTCAGGTTTGTTGAGTGGAGTGAGACCAAGGCCCCAGGAGGAAAGAGATGTGATAAAAAATGCATAGAGCTGGCTCTAGAACTTAATGCAGAAAAGGAAAAAGTGTCCCAATGCCCATGCCAGATATTAGTCTACCAGGAGAAAAGACTAGATGAAGATTTGAGGACACTGCTCTAGCCAGGAATAACAGCTGTGCTTGCAGCTCATGCAGCTTATACTCTCAGAAATCTTAAGTGGCAGTGTTAGAAAACAAGATGGGAATGTGGTCTAGCAAAGGAGAGCTGAAGGAAGAGCAACACCAAAAGCATGAGTCACTGTGGCTTCCCTAAGCAATCACTCCCAGATGTTTCTAACTTGACAGCACTCCCACCACTCTTTCTCTACCTGCTCACATTTTTTTTTTTTACCTTATGGCTGGTGAGGTCAGCCTTCAAGCTAACATGCTTGCTTGCAATCATAAAATTACAATGAGATGAAAAAACAATCTTACATGGAATTTTCCATGTAATTCCATGGAATTTTCCTTAGTCTGTGATAAGCACTTACAGTTCTAATTATCCTGTGAATTCTGATTAGTGGACAAAAATTATGAAGATGTCTCTGCACTGAATATCTTAAGGACTAATAGAAGGGTGGACCAGAAGCAAATGGTTAGGTAGCTGGACATGGAGGCAGGGCCTGTTGGCCTTGAAAGCATGCACAGAATGAAAAAAAGCCAAATGGAAGAAATAAGATGCAGCAAGTATGTTTGAGAACTGGCATTTCATAAATAATTACTACTGCCTTTGGTGTCTCTGGGAGTTGCTGATAAATATCTCTTTTTTTTCCCCTAAACCTCTTTCTCCTTCTCTTTTATTATTTATTACTTGATTCTTATTTATCAAGTGCAAACTTGGGTTAATAAAATATGGTCACTGCTCTTAAGTGCTCTTATACTGCACAGGGCAGGTAGATATGCAAATAGGTAATACAAATAATGACCTCTTTTTGGAAATAACCCACAAAACCATTACACACTAAGATGCTAATGACTAGTAGGTAATGGCATCAGTTATTAATTAATCTCTTTCAAAGGTGTCTATAACCAAATAAGGGATCACGTGCCTTCAAACATTGAATTCTGAGGAATTATAAATGCTTGCTTTGCATTCCACTATCATAGTCTACCACTGTCCATGCATTAACGTAGAGTGGAAAACTGGGAGTATGCAAGCCTCCCAGAAGGGAATTATTTTTATGACTGGCAGAAGGCTTCCCTGCCCCATCTCAAATATTGCTGCTGTTGAGTCTGTGCTGATGTTCCCAATAGAGACTCTTTATAATGAAAAGTTTTTTCATAAATTTATAAAGTGAAGCAATATATCATTTTATGGTTTCATCTAGTTACAGATCTACTGAAAACAATTGAGAACAGTTTGTTCTCAATCCAATTTAAGTGACTAATCATGACACTGTGCTATATATCCCCCAGCATGAGATGAATAGTGGAAAGGAAACCATAATCTAAGTAACCTCAGCCTTTTATAGGTATAATATTAAACCATAAGAAGCATGATTTCATACTTTAGTACATGCTATAATAATATCAGAATTAGCCTGGAACAGGAATCCGTTTCTACTCCCAGGTCTGTTAATTATCTAGCCTCATGGCCTTGGACAAGTCACAAAGCTCTCAGTCTTGCTGTCCTCATCTATAAAAAAGAAGACCATTAGGTTCAATAAATCCAAGGTCTGATCTACCTCTAACCCTGCATAGTAGCTAATGTTTATTGAGTACTTAGAAGGAACAAAAACATTTGCCAGTTTCTGTTGGAACCATCATCTAGGCCTTTTTTTCTCTCCTGTATTTCCAAGTTGCACTTTGTTTTTACTTATATTCAAATAAACTCAATGACTTACCAAATAAGTTGTCAGAAAGAGAAAATTCTTCGGTGACAGGTAAGTGGGAGTGTTCGATGAGATTCATTTTTGATCCCATCCAAATTGTCCTACTTGAGAATGCCCTTTCGCTATGGTAGTCTTCAAAAAAACTCTGAAAGACAAATAAGTAGAGTTTGAGGAAGGGCAGTGTAGTTAATTGGCAGTGTAGATAATTCATTAAGAGAGGGAGGAAGGGAGTAGCATATACACAAAAAAGCAATTAGATCTCTTTGTAGACATTTTGTCTTTCTGTACATATCTATTTTCAATATTTACCACTTTTACACCTCATTTGGTCTCACAAATGTCCAGGATATGTGTTTTCAAAAGAGATACTCTCTAATGTATCTGGAAAAATATCACATATTTTCATTTAAATTTTAGCACTTGAGAAATTTGGGCAAGATTTGATGATATTTTGGTTATGTCTTTATTGCTTTATAAGTAAAAAGAAAAATAGAAAGGCATTGATTAAAAATGGGATAAATTGATGACTTATTATCTTAAACCTTACTCCAAAGTTGAGTAGGTATTTACAAAGACAAAAAGGTGGATTTAAGACCACTTCCTGCTGGAATCTTCTTGAGTAGGCACTATGTCAGCAAATCAAAAATTCAGAAGGTGTTATCTCAGGATCTTAATTTTTGGCCTTTAGAGAAAATTTCAGGGGCTTACATTTTCACTCTCAGGGTCTACCATGGTCTTATATTTATGTGGGCTAAAAAAAAGTTATGGTAAAAGAAAAATAATGGTAAATCTCACCAAAGTGTCTGAAGTTTCATCCTGAGAAAATGTCCAGAATGAATCCAAGAGAACAAGAGAAGCAATATCCACTTTTGGTTATATCTTTAGGTCTTCTTTTCCTCCTTCCTTCCTTCCAAAATGTCTCCTACTTTCCTGAAGAAGTAATTTGAAAGGTCAAGTAATGAGAAGTTGTGCTATTAGAATCTCTTTTCCGAGGCTATTTTCCAAGGATGATATTCAAACCTTTTTATCCTGTTTCTACCAAGAAATCATTTTGTTTACAAATAAATAATTATTTATATTTCCTATTTGGGAAGAGAATATAGGGTTTCTGTTGGACAAATACGTATTTCATTAGAATGTGCCTACTATATATGTCTTTATTTCTTTCTCTTTCACTCAGCAGAATGTGCCAGTTCAAGCAGAAGTGAGTTTCAGATATACTGGGCTGTTGGTAAGGTAGTCTACCAGACTATGCTGCTGCATTCATTCCTTTATTCATAGTTTCAAAAAACATTTATTAAGGACTTATTCTACCCTAAGCTCTGGACTGGATCTTTGGAGATAAAACTGTAAAAGGAAAAAGAAGTGTCCATGATCTATGACATCCAGCCTAATGAAGAAAAGAGACATTAAAAAAATAATCACACATGTACACAAATGATTACAGATTGTCATGAAAGCTGGTGATAGAGCTTAAGATTAGGATGCCTTAACAGAGAGGTTTGGGTGTGAAAAGGAGTCAAGATAGGGAAGTAGCTGATGAATGATGTAGTTTCAAGGGCAATTTTTAAAGATGGTCAAGACTAGGGTACATCAGAATTGATGAGAAAATACCAGAAGGCTATTGAAGAGATGAAAAAGAGAGAGAACCTCTTGCTATAGGATACAAACCATGTCCACTGTAGGGTTGTAGACAAATCTGGGTCCATCTAGTGAACCAGTGGCATGGCCCTACCAGAATTCTCCAGGAAGCCAAGGGGCCTGTGGGAGAAAACCCATTCTAAAGTCAGACAGAGCCAAGAACCATGACCTTCCCCCTAAAGCAAACCTTAGTCATTTGAGAAATGTGTGATTCTTCTTGTAGCACAGTGTTCAACCAATCTATAGTAGATTCAAGAGGCCTTCTTGCCACCATAAGTTGAGAGGAGAGGCTATAAATAAAAAGGAAATCTAGAAGCATCAATGTATAAAGTGAGGTAGACACTTCCAACAGACTTACTTCCAAAGAGTAGGAAAGAATACTCATTTCAGCTCCACCCTTGCTGTCACATTATCACAGTGAAACTTTGGCCCCAAAAGAACCAGGGCTTTTCTGGGGCAATTGTGTAATAGTAGCAGCATGTTAGGTATCACCATAACCCATGGAGGAGCAGAGAAATTGTGTCCACTGGTCGGGTACAGCTCTACTCATGGACACAAAAAGTAAAAGAAGCAGCTAGAACAAACCTGATCATGAACAAACATGAGGAAAGACCCTAAGCCATTTCTGAAATACTTGGAGTTTGACAGAAAGCTAAAGATCCTGAGGAATAAACCAGTAAAAGCTGAGTTGTCACTGTTAATGAGACCTCATTCACACTCACAAGCTGGTTGCGGACTAGGGAAATCCAACTTTCAATATGTGTATAAGAATTACAAAGGTATATATTCACTGTGTATATGTTAATATATCAATTAGTTATGTATTATAATTGTGTATACATGCCTGCATATTGTATGATAAATGGGTTGAAAAGCCTCCCCAAAATTCAGACAATTACTATTCGAGATAGAGTTCCTCTTCTGGAATGGAAAATTCCATAGTTTCCCATAATAATTATTTCCATAAATCCACAATGTACAAAGTCAAGAATTTTTCCTAATATTCAATCCGGATATGTATTCTGTAATATAAGACCCATTTTCTCTGGTCTTTAAAACAAACAAACAAAAAACAGGAGATTTCAGTTCTTTGGCTCTTCCTTTGGGTTTCCTTCTGTCTCACATCTGCCTTTTTAAATCTTTAGTTGTGTTCCTCAAGCTCCTTCATACTTCCACATCATATGATAGCTCTGTAATATTTTTCCATGCAAACTCATCTTCATTTTTAGATTCTCATATTTTCCTTTATATGTTTATATAAAGTGCCTGGCACATAATAAGCCCTCAAGAAATGTTGGCTCATGGGCACCTGGGTAGCTCCGTCAGTTGAGCACCTGCTTTGGGCTCAGGTCATGATCCTAGGATCCTGGAATCGAGCCCCACATCAGGCTCCCTGCTCAATGGGGAGCCTATTTCTTTCTCTACCTCCTGCTCATTCTCTCTCTCTCTCTCTAAAATAAAAAAAAAATATTTTCTTTAAAAGGTGACAAAAAAAGAAATGTTGGCTTAATTAAATGATCTGTATTTATTGTTTTCCTGCTTCGTTTTGCCCAATTCCCTGCCATTCGGCATGCTCTTCTTGGAGGAGTGGCACAAGACAAGGATATGATTCTCCTATTAGCACAAAGGACATAATTTATTGATCTCTCACCCAAATGAAAGCCCAATTCTTCTATTTCTGTAGCATTTGGGTTATTACTCCTCGCTAGAAGTCCACAATGTGGGTGCCCCTGATTAGCTAACAAGAAAGCCCTCCAGAATCCAAAAACAGTTGGCAGATCTATTCAAACTGGGTTTGATGGACTTGTGATTCCTGGGGAAGCTTAAAGAAAAGGAAACTCTTTAATTTCTGGAATGGTAATGGAAGCACATGGTGAGCACACCAAACACTACCCTGAAAAATAAGTATTCCTTCCAGTTCTGTTTTCCATTTTCCTTCCCAAAATACAACTACGAGGGCCGATTCCTTGTGTATCTTTCTGATACTACAGCCACTCTTAGTACAAAGGGCCCTTGAACACTGTATGTGGCCTTGAACAGCTGGCTAGCCACCTGTTTTCATACAGCCTGCAAACTAACAATGGTGTTACACTTCTGAAGGGTAGCAAAAAATCAAAAGAAGGATATTTCATGACACATGAAAATTATATGAAATTCAAACGTGCTTGTCAAGTGTAACTGGCCCACAGCCACACCCATTTGTTTCCGGAATATCTATGGCTTTTCTCCTCCAACAATGGCAGAGTCGGTAGTTGGTGCATACAATGTATGGCTCACAAAGCCAAAAACTTTTACTAGCTAGCCCTTTGCAGAGTTTGATAATCTCTGCCTTAAACAAATAACAGAAGAAGAAAATTTTTTTAACTAGGTAATACTATAGGCAATCTATGAATATAGGTAATGATTGCCTTGGGCGTGTAAGCTCACTTACATCCACCTAATAGTAGGGTCTTTACTTCTCAGCAGTTCCTTACTGGGATTGGTGACTTTGACCTCACCTGGCTTGTCATTTAATGAGCACCTATCATGTCCCAAGTTTAACAAGTGTTTTCATATAGATTATTTCTTTAATTAGGGTTACTTCTATATCTTCCTCTCTCTAATATTCTTCACCCCCTTGTTGGAGGAAGAACTGCAATGAGAAGACTGACTCCCAAGAGATCCCACACCTTAGTTCTGAAGGCTTTTTTTCTCCCCTCACATCCTCCCTTCCTTAGAAGGAGTAGTTCTGAGGGTTGAGCATAAGCAATGGGTATTCTCTACACTGGTCACCTTTGAACTGCTTTGTTCATTTACTCCCTACAAAAAGTTTGAAAAACAATGTACTCCATCAACATGTTTTTGGGTTTATATCTGTAGTTTTTCACTTTAAAAAGTCGCAAAAAAACTACTTCTGACATATCATTAAAATCGACATTTTATATTGACATTGTTACATTACTCTTAAATCTATTCAATCACTCAAATACCACAGCAATTTAATAGCCTCCCTCATCCTTCAAAGAAATACCAGAAAATGTTCAACATCTAGAAAAATTTTTTATCATTCCCATTCCTCTGTGAGCTCACATTTCATTCCACTTCACTGCAGAATTTTATTCTAATGTAGCACGTTTTATTACTTGAATGCCTATTATTGATCATCGTATCATACTTTTCTGCAATTAAAAAACACGCACACAAATTTGGACTTAAAAAAATCTAGTGAGTTTAAGATTTTTAATGTTTCAATAAAAAATATGCTGGACTGAGTGTATTACTAATTATTATCAGTGTCCACTTCATCGAAACTGCACGTTGCCCCTTAGGCTTTCTCTGTGAATAGCATGGACCATTCTCCTCCACAAGCACACATAGAGAAATTGGTGCACAGTGATGAGAGAGCATGCACATGGGAAGGAAGTCTCACACACACATACACACACACCCCAGGCACCAGCCACAGCCAGAGATGCCTGAGTACATTGGACTAGTGGAACACCTCCTAAGAAATACAGTTAAAACGCTCTGTTTAAATACTGAACGTTGAGAAGCTGTAGACAGAGAACCCAAAAATTCTCCAGAGTTAGTAATAAAAGCCCAGATAACAGAGAGCCATCATTTCTATTCAGATGAACTCACACATGTGCCAATACATAAAGGATTAAGGTTAGAATCAGAGCAAAGAGAAAAAAATATCTGAATGTGCACACAGACATCCCTGCCTTTCATTCCCTATTTTCCTGAAAACTTGTAAAAATTTATTTTTTTAATTTAATTTCAACTTATCAACATACAGTATAAAACCCAGTGCTCATCCCATCACATGCCCTCCTCAGTGATGGTCCCCCCAGTCACCCCATCCCTCCACCTCCCTCCCCTCCTTCAACCCACAGTTTGTTTCCCAGAGTGAAGAGTCTCTCACAGTTTGTCTTCCTCTCTGATTTTTCTCCATTCAGTTTCCCTTCCTTCCCTTAAGGTTTTTTGCACTATTTCTTAAATCCACATATAAGTGAAACCATATAATTATCTTTCCTCGATTGACTTATTTCACTTTGTTAAAATTTAAATTTTTTTTTAATTTATTTATTTATGATAGTCACAGAGAGAGAGAGAGAGAGGCAGAGACACAGGCAGAGGGAGAAGCAGGCTCCATGCACCGGGAGCCCGATATGGGATTCGATCCCGGGTCTCCAGGATCGCACCCTGAGCCAAAGGCAGGCGCCAAACCGCTGCGCCACCCAGGGATCCCTTAAAATTTAATTTTAAATGGAAGTAGCTTTAAAATTGCAGTAAATTCAGTCAATACAAAAAAGCATTACAGAATGCCAAGTTGCATCCTATATTTCTCTTTTTTTTAAGATTTTATTTATTTATTCATGAGAGACACAGAGAGAGAGGCAGAGGCACAGGCAGAGGGAGAAGCAGGCTCCATGCAGGAAGCCCAACGTGGGACTCGATCCTGAGTCTCCAGGATCACGCCCTGGGCCAAAGGCAGATGCTCAACCACTGGGCCACCCAGGTGTCCCTATAATTTTTTTCCAATTTACATTCCTACCAGCATTCAATAAGGGTGCCTTTCTCACCACACCTTCATTAGCATTACTTTCAACAATCTTCTCTAATTTGATAGGTGACAAATCCTATCTCACTGTATTAACTTGCATTTCTTTGATTACTAATAAAGTTTAACTGTTTTTACATCTTTATCATCCACATATGATAGTTTCTTTCCACTTTCTGTTTATGTCCTCTGCCACTTTTCTATGGAAGTGTTCATCTTTTTTATCGACTTAGCAGAGTTCGTTGCATATCAAATGTATTAGCATTCTGGAATATTTACTACAGACACTTTTATTTGTCTTTTAATTATCTATACCTGAAAAAATATTCCATTTATATAATTAAATATATTCAATTTTTAAAGCTTGTTTTCATTGTTTTTTTTATTTTAGTTTATGGCACAAGGTGAGTTTTCTTGGAATTGCTTTTTGCATACTTTTTTCCACTGATTTATGCTCCTTCTTTTATTGACACTGAATTTAGTTTCCCATTATCATACAGCTCTAACTTATACTAGTATCATCCTTCCCTATTATTGTTCATTCTTTTTCAGTATTTCCTAAGATATTATCATCTCT